CTGGTGGCAACGCTTGGTATCTGTGAGATGATGCTGCTCCTTTCTGGGATGATTGTTTTTCATGTAAGGCATTAGCAGTAGCACCAATGCACCATCARCTGCTGAGTTTCACAGAAACATCATCAAGCATTAAATACCTGGGAGCAATTAGTATGTACGCAGACAACTAATTTTTAAAAATATAAATACTAAAGGTGTTAGTTGTTTCCAAGTATTAACTTTTTAAATGGCAAGGTAGACTGAGTACTTCTTTTACCTTCAATCATGTGCAATGCCATGCTGAGAGTACAATGCACACAAGTTGGAACCACAGTAAAATGTTTGAACTATATACTATTCCATTTGTTTGCTGCAGGTTTGAGTTACGGAGTGAGAGTTTCCTTGTGTGTGGTACTTAAGTCCCAGATGTTTATTCATAAATTCAGTCTGAACACAGATCACAATTAGCACAGGAATGCATCGTGTGTCATCATCATCCTACTCTGACTTTGTACAGCTCAGGACAGCTCTCAGAGCGGGTATGTTCTACCTCACACAGGCTCAACTCTGCTTAAAAAGACAAAGCACTAAAATGTGTTTCACACCTCAAATTTCCATCAGATCTCAAATATCTACATGAGTGCGTCCTCCCTTGTGGATCAGAGGCCAAATCCAGGTCTTGGTGCAGTCACTGGTCTACCAGTCTTGTCACATCATGTGGATTCTCATCACATACTTTTACACCAACCTCAGCTTTGAAAGGTGTTACAACACAAACTATGATAGCACTGTTTGTTTCTATGATTTTTCTTTGTGTAACAAAAGGCTCACATGGCAAAACCAAATTGGGTTCCTACTGCTAAAACCATCCATTCCTTCCCAGTCTCATGTAATCAAACCTGCAGCAAACAAATGGAATAGTATATAGTTCAAAAATTTTACTGTAGTTCCAACTTGTGTGCATTGTACTTGAGAATACATTCAAGAGAGAGGTATCCACATTTCCTGCTTTGGAATTGATTGGAAGCGTCCTGATGGCTAAAGCTTAACCTGTTCTCTGACTTTATTTACACCCAGTTGTGCCACACTGCCTGGGCATCCCAAACCTGAGGTTCTTTGCTGTGAAGGCACAGAAGAATCTGACACTTAAAAAATCCTAAGTTCAGGAAACCAGGAATGCACATTACTTGCCATTGTTCAAATAGTTAAAAATAAAGTTACAAACTTCCCAAGTTAATTGACATGACCCGAGAACATTAAAATGTATGGAAATCTGCTTCCCATCTTGAAGGCAAATGAGTGGCTGGTTTATGTAGTCCATTGAGACACAAACAAAAAAACTGTCTGACACTAAACTGAGGTAGAAACTTGTTGTCTTTTGGGTTTGTTTGGCTTTTTGCCAAGCCAACCAGTCCAGAGTCCTTCCTGGGAGAAGAGGAAAATTGAAACTTGACATGGAATTCCTTTTTGCCAAATCCTTCAAGAACCTCTGTTCCCAAATGAATTCCTACTGGTTTCTTAAAAGTCCTCCCACTCAGCACTGTATTTGGAAGAACTCCAAAACCCACACCAATTGCTTCAATTTAAACACCAAATACAAGCACAAAAATATTTCCTCTTTGTTGAGTTGAAAGCACAGAGTTAGTGCAGGCCAGGTAAAGATTCAAGTGCCTGAAGATATCACTTTAGGAAGTAATTCACACAATGTTTCCCAAGGTAGAGCTCTGGATAGGGAAGCACAAAGCTGCTCATCTGAAGACAGGTATTTGTGAACCAAAGATCAGGGTAAGGGAAATGAGAATGAAACCCATGTGAAATAGCTTGGATTCCAAAGTAGCAGAAGGCAAAAAGCGTGGCTGGGAACACAGTACTCAAAGCAAGTTAAGAGGCAATGCCTCACCCAAAGCTAACTTACATTTTACAGCAGATCAGAAATCAGTTAACTTGTTAGAATAGGGCAGAGTCAAACTCACTGCGTTTGACATAGATTTGATACTGGATTTGAGACAGACACAGACTGCCATTGCTCATCTCCTACTGCCATTCATTGAGGTCATAATAATCCTTTACTTATGCCTAACTTTCATTTCTCCAAGCAGGGTGGTGTGCTACCAACAATGCAGAGATGCACAATACATACTCAGAAGGGAAATTTTCACTCAGCTGTTCAAATACTTTACACCAAGGAATACCTTAAGACATCTGAAGGGTACCAGTGTTTTTTTAGTACAACACCATACAACTGCTGTACACAAAGCTGTCGAGGCATAAAATATTGCAGTAATCCTTAACTAGCTCTATCTAAATTAGGCAGTAAGAATTCATTAAAAAAACTCACTAAACCAGACCTGTATTCTGCAGAAAATTTAAGAAGTCAAGTGCACAAGATCAGTGTAAACATGTTCTTTAATATCACTGAAGATAAATTTAGCAATCCAAGTCTTAGGTGGGTTTCAAATAAATAATTGTTTTGGAAAAGTGTTTACATATAAAGGGAGCTCTCAAGGCAGCAGAGCACAGTTTGTAATTCCTCCCTGCTAACACCCCCCCCACCAAGAGAATGTACAGTAGGCAGTGCACACTGGAAAAAACAATCACAACACGAGGGCACACTCGCCAGCTTCTATGGAACCTCTGGACAGGATTTCAGAAAGGGGGGAGAAGTAAAGGGAGACATGCACTGCCCTTTAAAGCACCACTCTTTCTCCACAGCCTTTTTACCAACATAGCAAAAATGGGAATAGAATTCTTGCTTCCAAAAGCAATAGAATGCTTGCTTCCAAAATCTACTCCCACCTCAAGGATGAACAGAGCAGTGCTCTGACAGAGAATTATTCCTCTAATTGACATTGCAGCACAATGCATCACCTCCCTTCCCACCTGGTCTCTGCTTCTACTCTAACCTTGAAATTCCTCTCCAATCACTGCAAAAGGAACCCAAAAAGCTTAAAGACAGGTAAGAATTGTTGTTTCTTGTTGATCCTGAAGTCTTGAAATGGAGCAAGACATGACAGGTTTCAAGGTGTAGGATTACCCAGGAAAACATCTGGTGTCCTATGTCACTCAAATAAAATGTTCCAAAAATCAAAATACTTTATAAAAGTGTCGATTTGTCTTTGTTAAACAATTATTCTGCTGTAAAAATATGCCTGATGTGAAATTTCTGACATCAGAACAAGAAGATTTAACAATCCAGATAGAATAAGAAAAAAAAAAAAGATAAATATGCCACAAAAATACTTGCAAGAGAGTTACTGCAAAATAGGGTTTTGTTCAATTGAATCAAACTATAAACAGGCTGGGCAGTCTTCCACTCTCTGTCCTTTAGTTCAACATGCAATAGATCTGTGATAAGCACTGCAGTACTCATCACAGAATTGTTTCTTCTCCGTTTCTAACATACCTGAAAAAGGATCTGCTTTAACTCAAATTAAAAAAAAAAACCAGCCCTGTACTATGTAATACTGCTGTGTACCTACTGAATAAATACTGCAGGAGTTAAAGGATTGTTTCACTGCTAGCTGGACTTTGGCAAAAGAGGCATGGGCCTGACATATGCTGGATACTTCACACTTCTGAGTGGGGGATGCTGCAACATTTAACAGATATGGAATAAAATAAATCTTAGATCTAGAACTGTCAGTACACAGGATTCCCGAGCTGTTCTGAACACAGGAGCAGAGTGATCAATTTTCCAGGAAAGCCACATAGTCAGTCAATCTGGCCAACTGCTGTTCATTGGGAATTGGTGGGACTGGAGCAGGTTCTATAAAGATAAAACAAATGCATCATGAATGAAACTTAGAACACAAATCCATCAGCAATACCATGCATCACAACATTAAGGAAAAACAATTAAATATATCTGACTACTCTGGAGGCAGATCTGAACTCCATCTCCCACCTACATAGCTCCAGCTGACATAATTCTTCTGTTATCTGCAACATTCAGCAGTCCAACAGTTACTAACCACAAAAWCTGCTGCAGCAAGTTCCACTTGTCAGCAGCCTCCAGAAATTCTTTGCACACACAGGAGTCTGAATAATGAAGGCTGACAGTATTTTGACTTGAGAAAAAAAAGCTCCTGGAGCTCTTTGGTTGATCCTTTCCTTGCAAGCTGCCCTTCTGAAGGCCCTAAACAAATCTGCTGAGTGATATGACCAACAGAACACACAGGACTTGAGCTGGGGAAGTGGGAACCTCAGGAATCTCAGRCACTTCTTAAACATGAGGGAATGAGAAGACAAGAGGGAGAAGCATGTTTATGTAGCACCTGATTGGGGTGGGTTGCTATTTYTTATTCTGGAGGAGGCAGTGACAACATTCACTTCTCTGGGACTCAATTCCCACTCTGTGGTGCTGGTGACACTGTTCATGCAAGTTTAAATAAATCCATTATACATAAACAAAAATACCTGATGAAGGAATAAATCTGTTAAAGGAAGCTTCCAGCACACCTGGAGAAAAACATTAAGATATTAGCCCAGTGGAGCAATTTTTAACAGTTCTATGCAGCAAACTATAATCAAAAGTAATTACAATTAAAACCCGTTTATTCATTACACTGTGCTTTATAACTAAAAAGCAGAATACTCAAGGCTTAGCTGCTTCAAAAGAGATTAGAGCCTCCTGCCTCTTTCTTTTGCCTTTGTAGTAGCTCTTGCTACTACTCCCGCTTAAAAAAAAAAAAAACCCACATGTAAGTAATTCCCAGTTTTTTTAAGCTCTGCATATTTTGCAACCAGTTCATAAAAACCCCCACCTGATCACACATAAAATCTCAGGGCYCTGGTTGGCTTTGTGCCCCTTAGGGTTGAATTTCAGCACCTGACACCTGTTTATTATGGGCTCTGAACACCCAAAACCCCTGCCTATACAAACAGTGTCATTTCTTAGTCTAACATCTCTTGTCCTTTTGGATAYGCTGTAATTTGCCTCCTTCCACCAGAGCTGCACAGAGCAATTTAAGAGCAATTGTTTCATCCTGCTTTCACAGCTTAATATTTATTTTTCCCTTAGCAGTCATAGATTCAGCTTTAAAGAAAGAAAAATAAAGACAAGTATTTCTGTAGGCCAAGCTTTGCAGGAAGAGATATTCTGTTACCAGCATCATGACAGATGAAATTAAGAAGAATTAAATTTTAAGAGCAAAGGAAATTACATCAACAACTGGAGCTCCTCAGAACACAAAGATTCCCTAAATCCCTGCCCAAAGAAGTTCTAATTTTCTTGAAGAAAAAAAATATCTCAGGTTCATGATAGTCTATTTTTGACTCATTTTTATTAGATTAAGACATGTCATTTGAGGTCATCCAGTTTATGTTCTGCTGAGGCACAGCCAGCAGCAGACGAGCAGAGGGAGCAATCACAGCATATCCTGTCTGCTTTTGTTTAAAGAAGTTTATGTGAGGATGTAGCTTAATCCAAACTACTTGTAAGTCCAAACCAAATCCATCACTTTGTACTTCCTCACATTTTATACATGCCCGTATTTATAAGCAGCGTGAGTGCCCAAAAAATATCTAATAGAATCCTGTGCAAAGCTGTAATTAAAAACTTAAYGCCCAATTCCTAGAAAATGCTGAACTCAGTGTTTGATGAAATAACAGCTCCACCTACCAGGCTTTTTAGGCATCACCATGCGAGTTGCAAAGTCCGCTTGCCAGCCCTGTTCCAGCACACCTGGAAAGGCATTGGACATTTGTAAGATACAGAAGGGGAAAATAAASAATGCTAATAAGTGGCAAATAATTTTAAAAAATTAAACCATTATTCAGAACCAAGGTATTTTTCTTTATTCACTGCCCAGTCACTCAACAGACTCGGAATTTGTAGATACATTTTTAGTAATCATCACTTGAGAGATCTCTGATCTCATCATCAATATAAAAATTATATTGATTATAAATTTTGATTATATACTCAGGGAATAGATGCCAAGTACCTTTAACAGCTTCTTCTACAGGAAGGCCAACAAAGGCTGCAAAATCATCTGCAACTATTGATGTGTAAGCCTGGGAAACCAGTCCAAAGGCTCGTCTCCTGGTTGCATCTAGTGAGAGAGAAAACACAAGAAACAAGAGACTTCTCCATAGCTGGGGAATCTGAGAACATTCCCTCAATTTAACACCCTTGAAAAACCACTACCAGCCTTCAAGTGAGCACTTCACAAGTTCCCCCTCCCTTCCCACAGTTCACAGTGAGCAAGCGGAGACAATTCTGCCAGGACAAAACCCCTCAGAGCCCACACTGAACCTCCACCTGCAGCTTGCAGCACCCTGGGCTCCACCATCAGCTCATAAAACACTCCAGGACACTGTATCTGATGGCATCCTTTGTTTGCAATAAGCTAAAAATTAGTTAACTATTAATGGCATCTAAAAATCAGCTGTTTCTAAAGCTAYGGAGAATTTGTTGTTGCAAAAGACCCCTTTTTTGCAGTCTGCACTGCCCTCTAGTAGCAAGAATTTGCATGTTATAATTACACAGGAGAGAGAACATTTGCCTGAAGTCACATTTCACAGAAAAACCTTCTTGTAAGTGCCCCAAGGTTCTGAAATGCCAAGCCAAGTTCCCAAAATTGCCAGTGAGATGTCTGACAAAACTGGTAATTAACGGTCTGTTTTGCTCATACAGAACAAACCATATGGTTTATGAAATTCCAGTGTCAAAGAATACACAATCACAGACAAAATCCCAATAAAAGCCATTATTTGTTTCTAGAAGGCTCTGTAATGAGCTTTTTAAATACACTCCATACCTAAAAACCTTTTAGGGATACCAACAAAAACCTGGCAGCAGTTTTCCTGACTTGTTTGTAATTAATAATTTGTCTGTTTGCTTGGAGCACACAGAAATAATTCCAGGCAATTCCCTGCTCCCTACACAAGCTCAGTTCATACCTCTGAGCGCTTCCATGATTGGTTGGATAGTCTCAGACCACTGATGTGCGCTGATTGCTGTGTAGATTCCTGGGAARTCCCTCTGCCAGATTCTTTGTCCCACTGACCAAATCGCGCCGAGTTCAGCATTTGCCTGTCGCAACCAAAAAAACCCTCCAAGTGTTAATCCAGAAGAATGTTCCCTACAGTGACCATGTCTATAAACCCAGCTCCACTCCCAGGTTTTCAGAGAATATTATTGTGCAACAAATACAGCAAATTTGAGTTAAATTTGGCCCASTACTTACAGATTTGATAGCAGGAGGGATTCTTTTCCAGAGATAACGTGCATTATTCCTAAAAAAAAATAATAATAAAAAAAATTAAAAACACTTCTCAGGCACCAAATGCTGCAAGGAGATACCAAAAGTTTTGTTCAGATGCTGTAATGAACACTCTCAGTGTTTTAAATATTCTTTCTAGGAAGGAATATTTGATACTGAAGTGGAAAAACAGAGCTGCTCTGCAGCAGACAACACTGGACTGTCATAACACAACAAACAGCTCATTAATTGCCTCGCTTAACAACAAATAGTTCATTAATTGCCTTAATTAACACCACTGCCTCCATTAACACCAGTTTGGGGAAGCATTTCCTCACTAAAACCTCAAGTTTAGTGCAACAAGATCACACAGGGACACGGAATAACCCCCCAGATCAAATTCCCAGGATCTCTGCTTCCTCCAAATTTAGCTCCTTCATGCCAACAGTATCCCTCATTTTTAACATGGACAGTCCASTTATCTTGCTGAAATTTACACACAATGTGCAGCCTCAAATCCAAGTCAAAACCAAATGCAGCTCAGAACAGCTACAAATCCAAACACTGAAATGTTTAATGCTTCCCAGAGGAGYCAATTTCACTACTTAAGAAACTTTATCCCCAAATTTTCCCACTGTTCAAAAGTACGGGGAAGCTCCCAAACAAAGGAGAGTTGTTTTCCTGACAGATCAAGGCAATAAAGAGATTTAATCCCAGGAATGTGATCATTATTTCTCTGTAAGCACAGCATTTTTTTAATCACACAACCCAAATCCAGCGCCACAGATGGAGAAAGCCACTTACATGTCATTGTGCAACAGGTACAAAGCCAGAAGCTGGCCATAAACAAGGGGTGTGGCAATTCCTCCAGGGGCCTAAAAGCAAACACAGATCYTTGGGTTACAGATTTTAAGAGGGGTGTGGTACAAAACACAGCAGGCAGCCAAGTTTTATGTAAACTGAACACTCCAACACAACTGATTTTTTTTTTTCCATATCACATAACAGGTCTGGGCAATTTTCTTTTTTTTTTTTAATAAAGTAAAGCTACATCTTCYATCACTCTTTTCTCAATGTTCGCGAGAGTGGCAGCTGTTGGCACTGCAGCTCCTCACAAACAGCTGGTTTGAAAATGAAATTAAATCAGGCCTGAGTTCATTTTACCTTTAGCTGAACTTGAGCTCAGGCCACTCCACCACAGTAAAGCTTCTCTGCCCCTCCTAAGAACCCCGTGCTAAACTTCAGCCCAGGCCACACTTCAGCAGAGCTCACAAATCACACAAGGAGGAAACTCACGATTTATAAAAAAGCTGTAAAAGTTGGAAAGCCTGTAACAATTTAAGAAGAAAATTTAGTTTCCCCTTTTTTTTTTTTTTTTTGCATCACTGCAGTGGGATGCATGAGCTCCGCATTTAGAACAGCGCTGGAAATGCGTGGATATCACCTGGGAAGAGCTTTTGCCATCCCCATAGTGACACAGATTTCCCCGACGGTGACTGGAGCCAAGGTTTCGACACCCATCARGCAACAGAAGGTAAAACAGCTCGAGGGAAGCTGCCAGTGGGAGCTGCCACAATAAAACTGGATCTACGGATAATTCCCCAAGCCTGGCCCAGGGCTCCTCTCCCTTTTTCTCAGCGACGTTAAAGGCGAAAACACACAAACTAACCCTTCATACTCCCTTTGAAGCGACGTCAATAATTATATGGAAATATTAATTTATCTACAGGCCGCGAGTTTCTGAAGGGATCTCTGGCGAGCCCAAGGGGCAAGATTAAACACTGAACCCTCTCCCGCTCACACACACACACACACACTGACCCTCCCCACCTAACACACACGCCTACAGACCCTCCCCGCCCCGCGGCACCTCCAGCTCCTGCGTCTCGCACTGCTCCAAGAGCCGCCTGAAGCTCACGGAGCTCTCGGCCATCACCGCCACCGGCATCTTCCCCTCACGGCGCCGCCCGCCCGTACCAGGCGCCCGCTCTCTGACGTCACTTCCGTCGCCAGCCCTTCCCCTGCACCTTCCGCCCGCCTCTCTATGGTCCTGGAGGACCGCGGGGGGCGGGGCCGGGCGGTCACGCGGGGGGCGTGGTCACGGTTTGGGGGCGGGGCCAAAGGGCCGTGAGGGGTGAGGGCGGCGCGCCGTTGTTGATGTCGGCGATGGTTAAAGCCCTTTTAAACCCCGTGATTTCTTATGTAATAAGCAGAATTCCCGTGTCAGAAAAAGAGCTACGTGTGTTTGGCGTGTAATGAGGAGATCAACGTTCAGTTTTCTGTACGTGTGGGTTGTGTGTTATGGGATGGATGAGACGGGCACCCTCCATCCCGTATTGGACGTTACATGTACATAAGGGATATACTTAGAGGGATACGAAGTGATTTTCCAGCTCAGTGCCCGTTTCTGGTGGGTGTTAAAAGTATTTTTTTTTTAATTAATGAAAATTTTAAATTTGCGTTTCTYTATCTTTGTTCCCTATAAAATCTCCTGCTTGCAGAGCAAACTGCACTGCTAAAGCCAGATCATAGGATCRTGAATACCCTGAAATGGAAAGCACCCCAAAAGATCATTGAGTCCAACCCCCTGACCTGCACAGACACCCCAACAATCCCACCCTGCCCCTGAGAGCATTGTCCAAATGCTCCTGGAGCTCTGGCAGCCCTGGGATAGTGACCATTCCATGGTCAGAGCTCACCCTTTTCCCAAGCCTAACCCTGACACAGTCCCAATACAGTCACAGTAAATATTCAATATATCTACAGCGAAGCCTCTGTATCTGCACTTCTCTCCTATAAAACAGCCCACAATATACTGAGATGGCGTTTAACAGCATGTTTAATGCTATTTTAGAGGTGGAACCACSCCTCGGCCGTGGCATTTCCWTGGCTCCCCATCGCCAGTGAGGTYCCASCCRGCACCAGGACCCCCAGCCCTGCCCACCTTTCCCTAGAATCAGACTCAGGGCTGCATTTATGGCTCGGGGGGAGGTTGAACATGTCTCCAGCTCAGTTTGAGCCATAGAAAATAATAGGAAATGGCAAGATTGTTTCCAAATCTGTGTAGTTACCGGGGCCACAGATATAAACTGTTATTTTTAGGGTAAAATTGACCCCGAGGGCTCATTTTCTCCAAACCTTTCCTTTCTGATACAACARATTTGCCTCCCACCATCATCCCCAGCCCCATATTCTTCGAACAAAGGCTGACCCCAGTGCTTCCCACCACCTTCCATCCCCAGCAGTGCCCTAAACATCATCCCCCAACCATTTATTCCTCGTGCAGGGAGTTTTCCCAAGCCGTGCTCAATAGCTGTACCACCTCCATGCAAAATTCGGGCGATCTCCACACTTTTGGRGTGAAAAAGGAAGAGCGGTGTAAATCCCCCTTTTCCCCGTGCTCCGGGAGAGGTCTCGACTATGGAGAAATAGAACGTGTTTGTGCTCGCTTTGGGATTTGCCCAAGGCACGGCACCTGCGAGAAGRGCTCCAGGCGGTGGCACTGCTGCTCCGCCGGCTCAGGCATCGCTTTTCCCGGGAAACAGCCTCTCATCCCGCTCCCGTCCCCGCCAGCCGCATCGATCCCGACAGCCCTTTGTTGCCGCCAGCTCTGTGCCAGAGTCGCTTTGACATTCGGACATCTGAGAGGAGCACTGTCCTCACCTTTTGCTCCCATTCCCAATTAGCTCGCGTTTTCGGGAGGCGAGGAGGGGAGCAAAGCGGGCGGCAGCTTGTGATGGTGTCGGTGGGAGACCTCCCCGCGGGGCTGGGGTCAGAGCATCCTGGATTGCCACCGGGAACACGGCGGTTTGGGAAGGATTCTTCACCCGAGGGGATGTCGAGGTGCTACAACCCTACATCCCGGTTCCACCCTCCTTCCTGGTGGGTCCAGGTGGGAAGGTATCAGCCGGTCCCTGTTTGTGCTCCTTTTCCCTACCGGGAAATCATTTCATTTGGGGGGAAAAAAAACCTGTAAAAATCGAACAGAGGASAGGTTCCCTCAAGGGGGCACTAGCTGCAAGAGAAACTGCCGAAAAATCCAAGGAAAGTGGACATCCAAACACCCCACTGTCCTTTCCACCCGAGAGACCCTCTTCATTTGGGGGAAGTTCAGCTTTTTTCTTTTCAAAAAATATTTTGTTCTGCTTTCCATTTTGATTTTGGAACAGAAGAGGAAGTGTTGCTTCCTGGTGTGCTGAGCTGAGCCTCCTAAATCCACCAGAAATTTGAAGCAATTCCTCGGCATGGGGACAGCCAGAACCTACCCTTTTTGCAAGCATGTGCTGCATCCTCCCTCTCTTTTTTTTCTCTCTTTTCCAAAGCTATTTAAGGCTGTGGTAACACTTTGAGGGAGGAAACATGCCAGAAGGGATTACGCTTCTTTTTGAGTCACCAAAATAAAATACAGCAAATTTGTTGTATTTTTTTAGGATTGTTGTAAATCTGGAAGGTTTGGAGGATGTTCCTGGGRTTGTTTGGAGCTTGGCCTCGGTATGGTGGCACCATCCAAGAGCTCTGGACACTGATGGAAACTGCCTGAGGCAGCATCCCAAAAAACCACAGGGCCATTTATTTTGCTCGGGAGTTTCTCTTCAATTCAGACACCAAAAGAAGAGGCCAGACTCATAAAATAGCTGAGCACGTTGGAAAATCTATCCCACTGGCAAAGCTAACCACGTTAAATTAACGGGAAAGCTCCTTGACTTGACAGAATCCTGATTTTTCTTTGGCCCACAGGCTTGAAAAGCACTTAAAGACGTGGCCGCCAGCTGCTGCAGAAGTGTAAAGTAAATTTAATGTGATTTTTATTCAGCTCCTGGTGATGATGGCAGGAAAATCTCAGCAGCTCGTTTGTGCCTTGCATGAATTTTAAAGCAGGCAGGGAAATGGATCCCAGTTCTGCCATCCTGGACAGTCCCAAGTAGCTTTCAAAGCAATACTGAGGCATTTCCAAGAAAAATTAGCAGAGATTTTGTGACAGGGCTTCATTTTCCCAGTCRTTTCCATGTGCTGCTGCCTGTGATGTGTAGGTACCCTCTGGAAAGATGATTGCAAGTGGTTTCCCTTTCTCATCTGCTTCCAAAGCTTTGTAGGGGAACAAAAGACTCATGAGGGGGAAATTAAGATGCGATRGCACGATATGGAACAATAGGACAATAAATTCATGTGAAAGTTAAAGAAAACKATGCTAAAGGGTCAAGCTGAACCTCTCCACACCCTTCCCATTCCCTCAACAGCCTGATTGGCATTATYAGCTGGGCTGATCTGAGCAAAAGCTGGATCCAAAGATGTTATTTCCTTCCATGACATCAAAGGCAAAAATGCCTCGTTTTTAGGAGCTGCACCCACGAAAGGAAACGGCGAGTGGCCAATGGGAAATTATTATTGCTTTTCTCTCAAACAAGCTTTTCCATCTATTTCATTTCCACAGGGGCGTTGGTTTAAACTCCAATAAACAAGAAGCTCTGTGGGATATTTGGGATATTACTTTTTCCTTTCTTTTTGCTGTCCCCACCCTTAATTTTTCAGCTCASACCTGAGGTCTTGGTTGTGGCTGCTCCATCCCTGGAAGTGTCCAAGGCCAGGCTGGACGAGGCTTGGAGCAACCTGGGCTAGTGGAGGGTGTCCCTGCCATGGCAGGGCGTGGAATGAGATGAGCTTGAAGGTCCCTTTCAACCCAAACCATTCTGCGATTCTAAGATTCTATGAGTTAAATGTAAAAAAAATCCTAAATCAGGGAGGCTGAGGAGCTCAGACACAATGAAGAGAMCTGAGTGGCAGGAGGTGCTGAGGGTTGTCCACCCAGCTGTCCTTGCCCATTGGGCCCTGTGTCCTTCTGCCACTGCTCCGGAACAATTCTCCCCCGCAGCTGAGATTTAGGGTCACTGAGCTCCTTTCTGTCCGCATTGGACCTTTCTATCCCATCCTCCTGTGTTCCCTTGGCTTCTGCCAGAGGCTCTGGAGGCAAAGGTTGCCCTTTCTTAACCTGCCAAAGGGATAAGAGACCCTCTGTGTATTTAACCTAAACTTTGTTTTTACGACTTTCTAGGCTTGTCTGTGCATTTTCCTGTTTTTGCTTTGTTCTCYGGGATCCTCAGCCAAGTTTCTGTCCCCTCCCTGGCTCCTGGGCCAGCAGTTCTTGCTCTCCACATATTTTAATCCTCTGTGGCAAAGAGCTTCGATACCTTTGAGCAATGTAACTGCTCTTCTCTTGGCTGTTCCTGCACCACGCTGTTCTCTCGCTTGGAAATCTTTGATTGCCCTAAATTCTGGGCGATAAAGAGAGGGTAGGGATCCCTGGTCCACTGTTTGGAGGGATCAAGCACCGAGCATAGGATATTTGTGGGGAYGGRRTTGCRCRGCRRTGTTTGGGGCATGGAGTGGAGGGTYCCTGCTCCAGGCAGGGAATTATTTGAGGGATGGAGCATCCCTGTGCAGGAGGAGCCCCTCTCCAGCCAGCGTCCTCCTTTCCAGCAGGGTGGGATGCCCAGAGGCTTCCTCCTTTGGCCTCCCAGTTTGTTTTGGGGCTGGCAGCGGGAACGCCTCTCCCGTGCCAGAAACCTCCCTGCTCGGCTCCGCATCCCTCCTTTTAACGAGAGCGTGATGCATCGCCGTGTSTCCCGGGGCACGCTTTCAAACCCGCTAATCTCCCGTGATGGCACGCGTGTTAAAMAACACCTGTCCCCCGCCAAAGCCACCGGGGCAGCGGGCGAGCGTTCGGGCGAGCGCAATGAAAGCCGCAATTAGAAAGGCGGGCTTTGATCTCCGGGAGGGAAGGAGTTCAGGCAGCTGTGCCGAGACCTCTCCCGCAGCCGCTCTTCTACTTGAGTAACATCCGAACAAAGAGGATCTTGTGTCCGCGGCGCCTCGTTACGGCTCCTTCTTCCCAGCCCGCGGCCACCTGTCCTGTCCCTGCTGCCGGGGTCCCTTCCCGGTCCCTTCCCCAGCGCTGCCGCCGAGGGGCACGAATCGGATTTCACGGCCCCGACGCTTGCGGGGC